ATAATGTTTCAAGAACAAATCTAGTTCTGCTTTCGTGTTGCTTTTGTATTGTTTTTCCTTTTTACCCTTCTTTGTGTCTGATTCCGCGTAATCTTTTTTAAGAGCGTTTTGATGTTTTGAGAGAATAGGGCCCAGATTTCCTTTGTATTCTATATCTGATCCACGCTCTTTTAATGGTAAGTGCTACAAGATCTCGTGCATTGGAACCCATGGTTATGGACCCGAATCCGTTAGTATGGAACATTTTCTTTTCCAAGTGAAATCCCCTAGTATATGAAAGAGTGAAAAAGTGCTTTCGTTGTTGTGGAAGAAGAAGCCTTCGTGTACTTCATTTAATTTCTTCTGCAGTATTGAGCTTTGGCGGCATTTATCATGCACTTCTGGGACCTGAGACACTTGAAGAATCTTTTCCCTTCTTTGGTTATGTCTGAAAAGATCGAAATAAAATGACCACAATTTTAGGTATTCATTTAATCTTGTTAGGTCTAGGTGATTTTCTTCTAGTATTCAAGGCTCTTTATTTTGGGGCGTATATGATACCTGGGCTCCGGGAGGGGGAGATGTAAGAAAAATTACCAACTTGACCCTGATCCCCGAATAATTGTTGGAGACTCAAATGATGGAAACCCGCAGCTTCCACCTTGACAGTGCGGTGCTCTGACCAATTGAACTACAATCCCAGGGAAATACGGGTTATAAGAAGAACAAACGATCTTTCTTGATCAATCCCTTTGCCCCTCATTCTTGAAGAATAAGGAAGATCCTTTTCAAGTTTGAATTTGTTCATTTGGAATCTAGGTTCTTCTACTTCATATTTATTTAATATGAATATTTTCCCTCTCTTATTTTTATATCATTCCTTAAGTCTCATTAAATAGGCACTTAAATTGCCTGCACATTTAAATATCACCGAAAGTAGAGGATTATAGAAAATTTTTTGTTCCCTGATTTAATTCATGAATCCGCCTCTGCACAAGGAGAAAAGCACACAAGTATGATAGGGAAAGGCTGCTATTATTGTTGTAATGACCCATATTTAAGTTAGGGTATGTTGGTTAATTGTTTAAACAAGATAGTAACTGCATATATGAAGACTTACACCTATTCTGTAGCAATTGCACTTACCAGAAAGATTAAAAATATGGACATGATAGGCGGGCAAGAACTCACATAAGAAGATCATTAGAATATCTTTTAGTATGGATTTTAATATGAGTCGAAGATTTAATAATCAAGAATGTTTTGTGATATTAAGTAATCCTTTTTAGGTTGCCACATTTGTGAAAAATTTATAGTCGTTAGACATGTGTTTAAAACTTTTAAGATTCAAGTTAAGAGAAGGAAACCCTAGCTAACCAAGTTGTACTTGATATGGTTTACTTTAACGTACAGATGGATATGGATTAATTATCTTCTTACTATGCTACCCTCGATTACTATGGAAAGATTAGGTTTGGTTAACTTTAAAGGCTGGTTTTGTCCAAAAAGGGGATTATAGATTTTAGAGACGAGCAAATTCTATGTTTTGAAGACTTACCGGTTATAGAAGAAAGGTTATTTGGATCTCATAGATACGGTAAGGGGCACATGAGAAGAAACTCTTAGTTTGAAGGGGAAAAAAGTATCATAATGAGATATTCTCTAATATATTCCTAAGAATTTACTAGGACTACCTCCAATATGAGAAATAGACTTTGGCATTGAGCTGACGCCTAACACGCAAACTATTTTATATGGCACCAACAGAGTTGAAAGAGCTAATTGAATAATTGAGAGACCTACTGGATATAAGTTTTATCATACCGAGTGTTACACCATGGGGTACACCAATATTATTTGGAAAAAAAAGGGGATGAGTCTTTAAGAATGTGGGTCAACCACTGATAATTAAATGTAACGACCCGACCGGTCGTTTCATGAGTTATAGCCCCGTTTCTCCGATTTCTGCTTCTTTATGTGTTTTCAGCTGTATTGCATCGTATCGTGTTGGTTCGTTCGGGTTCGGAGTGGTTTCAGTGTGGAATGGGACACTCAGTCTCCTATTTAGAGGTTTAAGTTGGAAAAGTCAATCGAATATTGACTTATATGTAAACGATCTCGGATGTGATTTCTGATAATTCAGTTAGCTATGTTAGGTGATTTTGGACTTTGGAGCGCATTCGGAATGTGATTTGGAGGTCTGTGGTAGAATTAGGCTTGAATTGGCAAAATTGAATATTTGACGATTCTCAAACAGCAGTGGAAATTTTCATATTGGGGTCAGAATGGAATTCCGGAAATTGGAGTAAGTCCGTAGTGTCATTTTTGACGTGTTTGCGAAATTTCAGGTCATTCGGAGGTGCTTTGATAGGTTTCAGAATCGTTTGCGGAATTCAGAAGTTTAGAAGTTCTTAGGCTTGAATCCGAGGGTGATTTGGTGTTTTGATGTTGTTTTGGGTGTTCCGAAGGTTCGGCTAAGTTTGAATGTTGATATATGATTTTTGGAATGTTTGGTAGAGGTCCCGAGGGCCTCGCCTTGATTTTGGATGGTTGACGGATCAAGGATGGGAGTTGAGGAAATGTTGATGATTTCCTTCAACTACCATAACCGCACATGTGGATTGGGGATCGCAGGTGCAATGGCCGCAGATACGGAGAGGGACCGCAGATGCGGGATTTAGGAAGCTGAGGCAAGACCGCAAGTGTGGAAGGAGGAACACACCTGCGAGACCGCAGATGCGGGTATTGGACCGCAGAAGCGGTTATGGGCGGTTAAGTGAAAACCGCAGATGCGGCTATTTTGACCGTAGAAGCGGTCCCGCAGATGCGGGAAAAGGGCCGCAGGTGCGAGATGCCTGGGCAGAAAGTATATAAGGAACCCTTCACGAATTTGGCCATTCTTCACCATTTTTTATTCGGATTTTGAGGCTTTTGGAGGGTTTTGAAGAGGGAATCAAGGGGATACTCATTGAGGTAAGTTAATTGAGCTTAATACTTATGATTATGGTAAATTTCAATTGCTTAAGCATGAAATTGGTAGAAATTAGGGATGAGATTGAGGGGTTAGGGCTTGGAAATTGGAGATTTTAATTTGAGGATTTGAGGGACCATTTGATGTCGGATTTTTGATGATTTTTATATGCACAGACTCGTGAGTGAAAGGAGTTTCTAGTTTTGTGATTTTTGTCAGATTTCGAGACGTAGGCCAGGTTTGGGTGAATTTTGAGATTTTGGTCTGAAATGATAATTTTTCGTATGTAATTTGTTTATTGGCCTATATTGATTGCATTGTATTACTTTTTGTCAGACTCGGGACGTTCGGAGGCTGCTTCCAAAGGCAAGGGTGTCGCGGAGTAGGGCTGCTTATCGGGCGGATTGGGCGGTTATTTTCTCTTAACAGTTTGGCTTATCGGTTATCGGCTTTTAAATGTATTAATCCGCTAGCCACCCGATAAGATATCGGGCGAATTGATATCGGTTTAGCTCTTATCGGGCGGTTATCGGGCGGTTTATCGGCCTAATTCAATCTATATTGCACATGACGCTGCTTTGAGTTCAGAGCAATCTACATTCCAGTCTATAGCATACAATAGATGAGTCCATTACATCCCAAAGCAGACTACATTACAGATGAGTCCAGAATACATATGTCTTTCCTCCGCCCACAACTGCAAAGGAAAAGTCAATGCTCTCTGATTAATTCTGAAATGATAAAATTCCCGTCTATATTCAAAGTGAGTCCAGAATACGTATTTCAAAATGATTAATCCATAAGTGAGTAGACTACACAAAAATGGTTAATAGTAAATTAGTAATAGAGAATAGAGATAGAGTACTGGGAGTGGAAGAAGGGTTTTTGATTATTTAATATATATATATGGATAAAAATAAATATTATATGTACATATATATATTCTTAACGGGTTAACGGATTATCCGTTAAGAAAATTGAATAATCCGCCCCCAAACCGATAAGCCGTGAATAAAAAAATTTCAATCCGTTCCCCTTCCGTTAAACCGTTAACCCAATACCAATAAGCCATTAAGCTTCGGTTTTGGTTCGGTTCCGTTTTGAACACCCCTATCGCGGAGTAGAGATTTGACTGGTTTAAGGTAAGTAATGATTGTAAATCTTGTCCTGAGGGTATGAGAGCCCGGATTTCACATCGTTTCACTACTTTGAGGTGACGCACATGCTAGGTGCCCTGCGTGTGGGCGTGCACTGTTGGAGATTCTGACTTGGTCCGTCCCATAGCAACTAATAAGTTGCGTATTTGACTGAAACTATATGATACTTGTGTGTTTTAGAAAGAATTGCTATAAATTGGGCTGAATGCCATATTTGGGCCTCGTGCCAAAGCTGTTTGGACCCTTAGGGGCCTTTTTCTTACTATCCCATCACCGTTTTGATTTAAGATTCTATACTCAGTCATGATGTATTTACTGATATCATAACTCAGTCTTTACTACTCCGTTCTGATGCATAAAATGATATTTAGGGCTGAGCACCCTGTTTTTAATGATAGCCCGAGTGGCTTGAGAGGTTTATGATTGAGTGAGGACGAGGGACTGTGTTAGTGAGGATATTGAGAACATAGCACGTGAGTTATCCGTGTAGCACGTGAGTTGTCCGTGCGGATTATAGCGCTTGGGCTGTAGGAGCCACTCCAGAGTTTGCACACCCCCAGTGAGCGCGGGTACCCTGAGTGAGTGTTATGAGATATGCCGAGGGGCTGGTTCTGAGTGATGTTGTGCCCGAGGGGCTGTTTATGATGTTCATCGTTTTTACTCTCATTTGCATTGCGTCTCTGTTGAAACTGTTGAAAAATATCTTCAATGACTTTTACTAAAATCTGGATTTAAAACGAGATGATTTGACTCATATATTGATTTGAAAGCATGTTGTACTTTTTGAGATTTCATGACGTGGATTCTATGTGTTTCCTACTGCTCAATCTTTATTTACCTTTATTACTTACTAAGTTGGCGTACTCACATTACTCCCTGCACCTTGTGTGCAGATCTAGGAGTTGCTAGACGTGCTCGCGAGCGTTGATTTTCATCCGTCGCGGATTTGCGGAGTTAGCAAGGTAGTTGCATGGCAATCGCGGCCTTGCTCTTCTCCCTCCTATCTACTTTTAGATATTATAAGATGTTCTCCAGACTGTATTAGTCTTAGTTTTTGTCAGACAGTTCTTGGTAGATGCTCATGACTTGTGACACCCCGATATCGGGCTTTTCATTCTGCACTTTGTTATTCAGATTTATCTTATGAAGTTTTATTAATTAAATAGCTTAAAGAAATCTTTATTTTGGTATATCGGGTTGTTTTGATAAATGAGTCGGCTTGCCTAGTTCCACGTAAGGCGTCATCACGACATGGTAGATTTGGGTCGTGACATTAAATAAGATAACAATACACAATAAATATCCCTTGTTATGTATAGATAACTTGTTTTATCAGTTACAAGGAGCCATTGATCTTTAGTCTGGTTATCATCAGCTTAGAATAAGAAAGGAAGATATTTCGATGTTGCCTCTAGTACTCGGTACAAACATTATGAGTCCTGTGATGTCCTTTAGATTGGCCAATGCTCCAATTGCATTGATGTATATAATGAATATGATGTTCAAAGTTGTTTTTGGAGAAAAAGTTTCATAGTTTTTACTTACTATATTGTGGTATATTCTCATACCCAGGAAGATCACGAGAATTACTAGAAAAATATATCAAAGATGCTGCAGGAAAATCAACTTTTTTCAAGTTCTTCAATTAGCTGGACTCGATGGTATTCATAGGACACATGGTATCTAAGAATCAAAAAAATGGCAGATTCTAAGAAGATAGAAACATTCATAAATGGCGGAGATCCATTTGCCCTACAGAGATTACTTTTGGCTTGACATGCTACTATAGGCATATGTGTAGGATTTCTCTAGAATAGCACCACCACTCACCAAGTTAACATAGAAAATCGCTAAATTTCAGTGGATGGAGTAATGTACAATGAGAAAGCATGTTTGAAAATTACAGTAATGTTAGCCTTATTCCAATAGGCTCTAGAGGATTCACGATGTTATGTGATACTTCGAGGGTAGGATTATGATATTTTCTCATGCAAAATAGTCGCGTGATAGCCTATGCTCTAAGGAAATTGAAGAAGCTCAAGTCGTATTATGCCATTCATTATTTGGAGATGGTCATAGTGGTATTTCCTTTTAACATTTAGAGACACTATTTATACGAAGAAACCTATGAGATTTATACCTAGCACAATAGCCTGAAGTACATTTAAAGCCAACAAGATATAAATATTTAGCAAAGCTAATGGAGGGAACTATTGAAGATATAATTTTATTGTTTTTTATTGTTCGGAAAAGATAAATATTATAGCTTATGCCAAAAAAAACTATGGGTGATTTGGCGCATTTAGCTCCTATAGAGATATTGCTGGACGAAGATATGCATAGACTAGAGGGTACACGTATTCGATTCAATGTGGAAAAAAAATTCAAATACATTATTCGCTATTGGTCAAGCTCGATGTAGAGTGTATGAAGGCTAGATAATACGAGGATGAACGATTGTTTAATTACCGAGATTAGTTTCTAGCTGGTAAAAGCAAGGATATGATTGTTAATAGTGAGGGTATTCTCCAACTAGGTAATTAATTATGTGTAGTAAACATATATGGGTTGAGACAAGCTATTCGTGATTGAGTTCACAACTCTAGATACATTGTATATCTCAGGTCTATAATAAGCACCATGAACAACAACAACAACAACAACAACAACAACAACAACAACGATAGCCCAGTGTGGTCCCACAAGTGTGGTCTGAGGAGGGTAGGATGTACGCAGCCTTACCCCTACCCTGGAAGGGCAGAGAGATTATTTCCGATAGACTATAAGAAGCACCATGACTATAAAAAATAAAAAAATAAAAAAATTGATTGGTTGGAAAAGAAAGAAGGAAAAAAAATTCGTTAACTTTGTTTTTAACTATTTGACATGTCAGTATGTTAAGGCAAACACTTGCGACTCACAGGCCCACTAAAACAACTCAAGATTCTGAAGTGGAAATAGAATAGAACAATACATTATATGACTAAATTACTCAAACCATTAGAGATATGATTATGTGTGGGAAAGTTGTAAATTGCCTTACCAAGTAGGTACATTATGGGGATCAAAAGTTGTAACATTTGGGGATTAAATGTTATCAACATTAGGCTATGGAATAAAGCAGCAATCCTGAAACAATTATGGGCACTGACAATGAAAAATGATGCATTATGGATCAAATGGACTCATTGCTATTACATAAAGCAGAAGGAAGTTGACACAATGGACACACCTAAAACAACAGCTTGGGTGGTCAGGAAAATCATAGAAGCAAAGAAAGACTTGTTATAGGTGAGCACAATACAGACCAGCCTTACTACAGCATTAGCATATATGGAGAAGAAAGGCTGATTTCAAATTAAGAGAGCCTATATTCAGATTTGCCTCAATATCCCAAGGTTGGCTGGAAGAGCATACATATGCATCCGCAGATCCATCCAAGATTTAAGTTTCACTTATGGTTGGCAATTCATTAGAGGCTAGCCACTGTGGATAGACTACATAAGTTTGGGATTCAAGTGTCGCAGGGATGTGCCAAGAGCATAGAGACATTTAGTCACCTATTTTTCGAATGCTTATGTACAAACACAATATGGGATAGAATACTCTAATGGCTGGGAATTACAAGGAAAATAGGCAGCTGGCAAACTGAGATAGAATGGATCAGTAACATTGCTAAAAGAAAAACTGGCATGGCAGCTATAACTACTGCAGCTTTTGCTATGGTAGTTTACTGTATTTGGCGAGAAAGGAACTCCTTCAGATTCAATAAAGGCAGATATGTGGCAGATGGGATATGCAGAGAGATTGCCCTACACATGCATGTACAAGGAAGATCATATAGCAAATGGCAACCAACTTTGCAGGGATTGAACAAGTATCCGTAGAATAGTTGTAATTTGCTTGAAAGTGTAATTAGTTTAGCGAATTGTAATTTTAATTAGGAGGCTGATGGTCAGCATCAACCTGGTTTTGTAAAGACATTTTTTGATGAAATGGAAAGTCTATTTTAATCAAAAGAAAGAAAAAATAGGCACATTTCTTGCTAGTCAAAACCTCTTATAGTGAGGTAAAATATGCATAGATATACATGAACAGAAAATTATCTGACTCAATAGAGCTCTATTGTCCATCAGCTCTAATAGAGGATCGCATTCACTTCACGATTTGAAAACCTTTTCAAGAAATTTTGGGTACACGAGTAGATCTTAGTACTAGTTTTATCGCACGCAAACACAAAGTCCAAATGTGTATACAGATCTTGGAGGATATGTTGAGAGATTGTATTGTTAAGCTTGGAGGTTGTTGGGACGCTTATCTACCTTTAGCTGAATTTGCTTACAACAATAGCTTCCAGTCCAGTATTCAGATGGCATTGTACGAAGCATTATACGGCAGAAGATGTTGTTATCCTATCGTAGGGTTGGAAACTAGTGAGACTAACTTATTGGGACCCGACTTAGTACAAGAAGCTATTGACAAGCTCCAATTGATCAAACCGCGATTGCTCACAGTTTAAAGCAAACAAAAATCTTATGCGGATAAGAAAAGAAGAGACTTAATGTTCACAATTGGGGACAGAGTGTTCATACAGCTATCTCCTATGAAGGGCGTGATGCGATTCAAAAAAAGAGGTAAGTTGAGCTCGAGGTTTATAGGTCAGTATGAAATACTTGACCGAGTGTAACGACCCGACCCGTCGTTACAGGAGTTACCGCCCCGTTTTCCCCGTTTTATGCTTCTATATGTTTCATTATATGTGTTTGGAGAATTTGAAGTAATTCGGATAGAGTTCGGTTGGAAATGAGACAATAAGTCTCTTTAGGATAAGGTTAGTTTGGAAAAGTCAACCGAATGTTGACTTATGAGTTAGAAGGCTCGGAATGGATTTCCGATGATTCGTCTAGTTTCGGGGGATGATTTGTGACTTAGGAGCGCAATCGGAATTGAATTTGGAGGTCCGGTGTAGAATTAGGCTTGAATTGGCTAAGGTTGGATTTTGGCGAATTCCGGATGGTAGGTGAGATTTTGATCCGAGGGTCGGAATGGAATTCCGAGAGTTGTAGTAGCTCCGTTAGGTGATTTTAAATATGCGTGCAAAGTTTCAGATCATTCGGAGGTGTTTAGGTCGGGTTTTAGATCAAATGCAAGTTTCGGAAGTTTTAGTTTAACTTAGGCTTGAATCCGTGGTAATTCGATGATTTTGGTGTTTATGATAGTGTTTTTATGTTATGAGCAAGTTTGAATGAAGTAATAGAACATATCTGTGCATTTGGTTGAGGTTCCGAGGGCCTCGGGGTGAATTCGGGTGGTTAAACGAGAGTTTTGAGGTGTAATTGCAGGTCAGATTTTCTGTCATCTGGTGTTTCCGCTTCTGCGGAAATGGACCGCAGAAGCGGGTACGTGGTCGCAGAAGCGGTCGTGGCCGGCTAGGGAAATTTCCGCAGATGCGGAAGGTGGCTCGCACCAGCGGGTCCGCATAAGCGGACAATGTGCCGCAGAAGCGGGTTTGAAGGAACCGCAGAAGCGGACTTCGCGTCGCATAAGCGAAGTCCGGGCTTCTAAGTGAAAACCGCTTAAGCGGAAATGTGGCCGCAGAAGCGGTCCCGCATAAGCGAAAGCGGGACAAGCGAAAGCGGGACCGCAGAAGCGAAAATCGCTGGGCGACAGAAGGGTTTTAAAATAATATTTCATCCGCGACCCTTTCATATTTTTCCTCCATTGTTGACGTTCTTAAGAGCTTTGAACAAGGAAATTCGAGGGTTTTGACTGAGAATCACTTGGAGGTAAGTTCCTTGGCCTAAATATTCGAATTTATGGTAGAAATTACATGTAAATTGTAGAAAATTCATCAAAAACGGGTCAAGCTAGGGCTTGGAAAGCTGTGATGTAAAAATGGAATTTGGAGGGTCAAACGAGCTCCGATTTTGGTAAACTTTATATGCACGGACTCGTGGCGAGACGAGGAATCTGTTGGTGTGATTTTTGGAATTTTTCGAGAAGTGGGCCCGGGGTTCGGGTTTTACCAACTTCGTGAATTTTAGTACTTTTCGAGTATTTTTGATTGGGTTATGTTTCTTTAACCCATATTTATGTATTCGTTGTGATTTTGACTAGATTCGACGCGCGAGGAGGTCGATACAAAAGGAAAAGGCATTGCGGACCATTCTACGGCCGGATAGAGGTGAGT